CCGATCAATATAAATTCCGTTTTTGTAGCGTTCAAGGTAAGTCTGTTAGACACAAGCCATTTGCTTAGTTTTTCAAGGTCGTGAGATAGACTAGACTGAGTCGGATGCAAATCAGAACCAGCATAAGTAATGTGGGTGTCATAAGCATACATTCTAGGTATGTTAAATGATAGACAGTTAGGCAAATCGTTAATATAAATTAAATAAAAGAGGACCAAGGATCGTTCCCTGTGGCACACCACATTTAAGAGTGGTGAAGTCAGAGAGACAGCCTTTAACGGAGCACCATTGCGTTCGATTGGTCAAATACGATTTAAACCAATCAAGAGTTTTCCATTGAATTCCGCACCGAAATTAGTTATATCCCGTTAAGCCAGACTTATGCAAATCACCTCAATAGCCAACATAGATCCATCCTATGTCTCGGCCTCGATTTGATGCAAAGCCCCAATGTGACATTGTGCATGCCGAAACACAAGTTTCTAAGTTTCAATATCCTATTACTATATATTGTAATGTTTAAAATAATTACTTCTTTTTATCTGCGAGTAAAAAAAAAGAGAAAGAACAGGAGAAAAAATTATTAATCGTGTTAATGCAATATTTGGTATTATTTTATTGTTTATTGAAAATGATGGTCACGTGACTAATCACGTGACAAATTTTTCGACTGCCAGATACTTTATAAGTTGCTGTTATATTAAAAAGCAAGAAATCTAGCATAGTACTCCGGAGAGGGCTTAGAAATGAGCATTTTAACTCAGCCTCGTTCCCATGTACGGGCCTAATATGTCATTTTTTGACATGCGCGTAGCGTGGTTCTGGGTGTAAATTTGGGATGGCTCCATATCAGAAAATGTTTACCTTATAGAGGTTAGTCATCCTGGGAGGTTTCATGCCTTTATCACAAAATGAACAATTCTGGTTATTTTTGGCTCTTAACAGCAGGACTATGGTGAACGAGAAACAAAAATGAAAAATGTTTAGAACACCTGACGACGTCCACCCTTGTCAAATGTAAAAGCATGATCATTTCAATTGTAATGCCTTCTTATCCAAATGTTAGTTATGTTACTTTGTTTCTTTGGTACCTTATTAGTGAACACTGAACTACTGCTCGTACTCCAAACATGAAAATCAACCACAATATTCCCTAAACCAGATAATATTAAACATAACCCAAAAAATATTTTAATACATTTGTTCAATTCACGAGTTTGCTCACAGAGCAATTTGATTACTTCACTTGATTATATGACATTAAGAAAACAGGCAATATTTGGGAGCGTTGTGGAGGCAAAAAACTTTAGTGGATAAATAAATTCCCCATGCAATTGACTACAAATACAACTGGGGATGCTTAACTAATTTGTCGTAATTTGACTCGTCTGAGGAGGGTTCTGCAAAATATCAAAGATTAAAGTGTGCCGTATGTTTTAAGGTTTATAAGTGTAATTTCGTCTCTAATTCACTTACAGCATTGCTGTATTGGACGGTAAATCACGTGGCACTTGCTTAATTCCTGTACACGTTACAATGATCCGGGTGTGGCCAAAAGACACGCAGGAACATTTCCCCGGATGAACATCTTTCAAACAGCACAAACCAAACGCCACAAACCAACCCACTAAAACGAACTGTGTCAGTTTACCCATCTGCTGAGAGAAAGCGTGAATGTATTGTCTGAGTTATTTCCAAGTTCAAGCCAGTTCATTTAATGCACTCTGTTCTATTACAATAAAAAGCTACTTTAGCTGAAAAGCAGAATACAAATGCGAAATTTCATTTAAGAAGAAAGAAGTCTGTAGTGGCGGAAGGGGCAGAACCTTTCGAGCTAGCCAGTATACCACAGTGAATATAATTAACAATGAGTATAAGCTGTACAAGACATATAAGCGCAGTCATTAGATGATGTAGCCTTCACTGCCAGGCAGAATGGTTGAATCACTAAATTCCTTAAACTATTGAAAACGTGATAGTCCAAGATTACGTCTTCCTTATGTTCAGTGAGTGGTGAACAAGTATTGGACACTTCATAGTCTGCCAACGTGCTAATAGAAGACTGAGCTGACGAGAGTCTTGGGTTTCCAACGGCTTTCAATCTAATGATGCTACTAACCTTAAGAACATACAAGCTCGTTCAAGCGGAGAAGACAGACAAAACGAACAACGCAACTTAGTAAAACGTGAGATATGTGAAGGTATATGCGCAGGTACAGTGTCACGCATGATCTTTTGAGGTTTTTACTCATTTATATGGGCTTGCTTAGCTTCCTTTGCCTTTTTATCAAGGTGCACTACTTTTACGTGGATTTTCTAAAGTTATTGCGATAATCAATTGAACTAATCAACTATGGATTTAGTTGTGAGTTACAAATAGGATAGAATCTCTTTCACGGGTTAGTTGTTTGTTATTCGTAGTCACAAAACGCAGTATTACTTGGTGAGTATCCGAAGTCAACGTTTCTGCGATGGTTTTTACCATTCGTTTTGAAGATTCTCTATATTTCCTTTCTAAAATCTGCAGAAGCACTCGCTCGCGAAGTGCCGCCAGCTACGAAGGCTTCAAAGGCAAAAACAAGATTGCAATCTACAAATTACAAATAAAGCCCAATGCGATAAAAGGAAGAGAACTTACCTTGTTTGACGGCAAAAGCGAAATGCAGCGTGTAAGTGTCAGTCAAGCAAAGGAAGCTTTTCTAAAGCGTTGCTTCTCAGTATCTTGAAACCGACAGTATCAAGGCATGACGTCATACAAAAAGTGCAACATCTCACGTCCGACTGGAAACTCACTGGTAAAAAGGGGTGATTCTTCTCTATATATATTACTCGCTTTCTTGTGCCGTAGGAATCTTTGAATCGTATATCACAGATATAAAAGGAAAGAATCAAACAAACTCATTAATTTTTGCTCTGCGGCGAATTTTCTGATTTATTAACTTTAAATACATCTTTAGTTTCGACCACACAAAATTACCTCGGCATTGTTTACGAAGCTTGGGCAGTGAGCCGCGACACAGACCGGAAGTCTATTTTCTTGCTTTGGGCAAGTTTTCTTCCCCCACTTCTGAGTTACAAAACTGTCATTTTACCATTCACAACTTGACGATCTCAACGAAAAGTCGACAATACACGCCGAAAAGAGGAAAATGCTACTTCCTGTTCACGTCGGTCTTCCTCTGTGTTTCAGCTCCCTGAAAGTGCTCATTGAAATGTGGCAGGAAGTTCGAAACTTCGTAAACAGTTCCTGTTTCAAGTTCATTAAGTTATTTAAATTTATCAAAATACCTCTTGACGTGTCCATAAAGACGTTAACGTTCAAAACCGCTCCCTCATCTTGGCCCCTCTTCCTGCCCAACGTGAGGTAAGCATCGTTCTCTTTATGAAATCATAACCTAGGCGTTGTTAGAGACACTGCTACATGTGGCTAGAAGAACCTCCTCGCAGTTAGAATCAAAACAACCAGCCATAGGGCGGTTTTCAATTGAGTGTCGTAAAACCAAAACCAAACCAATTAGTGACCAGTTAGACTACTCAGCTAGTCTCAAACCGTAGTAAAACCGAAACTAAAACAAAAGTAATTGTCTAATTACTTTCGAAACTCAATTGAAAACCGATATAACACATTAAAACAAATCACCGACTGAAGTAGAAGTAGAATTTTCTTCTCCTTGGCGTGTATTATCGACTATTTGTTGAAATCATCAAGTTGTAAATTGTAAAATGACAGTTTTGCAACTCAGTGGTGGCGGAAGAAAACTTGCCTAAAGCAAGAACATAAACTTCCAGTCTGCATCGTGGCTCACTGCTCAAGCTTTGTAAATCTTAAGTGGTCGAACCTAAAAGATGAATTTGAAAGAAATTTATAAACCAGAAATTTTGCCCCAAGAGCAAATATATTCGCAGTTTCTAACGGCGCAAGAAAACAACGAATATTACCCCTTTTTACTGCGGATTTTCCAATTGGATGTGACATGTTGCACTCTTTGTATGACGTCATACCGTGTTACTTTCGATACTGCGAAGAAACGCTTTAGAAAGGATTCCAATACTTGACTGACACATACAAGCTGCATTTCGCTTGCGCCGTTAAACAAGGTAAGTTCTCTTCCCTTTATCGTATCAGGTTTTGTTTGCGATTTGTAGATTGTAATCTTGTTTTGGCGTGATGGTATTCGATGCAAATCATACATCAAAGCCAAACTGTAGGCCAACAAAATAACGACTTTGGTTGCAATGCAAATTCCTCTAAAATATGTAATTCCTGGTTTAAACGTCTCGCTATCGTCGTGTCGAACATAATTAAATATATTCATTAAAGGGTGTTCCATCAAGTTATTGATGGAAGGTTGCTTGAATTTTAGCTGCTCAATATTCGCCTTTCTAGCCTCAGTAGCATGCGTAGCTGGCGGAATTTCGCGCGCTGAAAATAGGAAAAAGGAAATATAAAGAATCATCAAAAATATAAAGAATCTTCAAAACAAATGGTAACAACCATTGCAAAAACGTTGACTTCGGATACTCATCGAGGAATACTGTGTTTTGTGACTTCGGATAACATACAACTACCCCCTGATAGAGATTCCTACTTCTATTTGTATCTCACGACAAAATCCATAGTTGATTAGCACAATTGATTATCGCAAAAACGTTGGCACTAAAATTCACGTGCAAGTGCACCCGGATAAATGACAAAAGAAGAAAGCCTACCCCTGCATGTATACCCAGCTCTTTAAGTGTGAGCAGGCAAATGACCCGTTCTTGTGAAAAGTCTCGCAAAATCGTAGAATGATTGACATTTTAATGAGTAATAGCTTAGTGTGTAGCGTAGTTAGTGGGAGTTACAGCAATGATCAGATTATGTAAATGAGCTGTTGGTCGGGCGATCATCCAATAAACTTTTTGTTGTCCTAGCGGCTTTTTCAACACCTAAAATAGTCAACTTTTTCGGCTCACAGGATTGACTTGACATTATTAGAGATTTGAATTCGATTTCGTAGTTGGATTTTGCTTTCGCTGTAATTTTGTGTTCCACGACGAGCAGCGCAACGCCGGACAGTGGGGTGGTTTTCATGCATGAATTGATCAAAAATCTTTGCTACGCATAAAACCGATGAGTTTGCTTGAATTTTTTATTTCCTTTTATAATAAAGTTTCCATATAACGCGCGCTCTGATTGGCTGAAACAGCGTGCTTTATCAGAGAACAGAGCACGGGTTGATGACGGTAAGTTGGCTT